CCCCACTTCACCTAACAAGCTACCTACTACTTTTCTTCCTAGCCTAGTATCATTATAGCAGATTTTTACACTCGCCAATGCTCACCAAAGAGACCATCAAGATTCTCAGAATCCAATAGTAGCCTAAAACTCCAGTTTCGTAACTCATTCAATGACTCCATGATTTCAACATTCCAATAACAACAACATCACTTGTAGATAAATAATCAATTGCCAACATAAGAAATCATGCCAAGGGATCAGGATACTTTCATATACATAAATATTTGAGAAAGGATATATGAAATGACATGTATAGAAGAAAATGATAGCTTGAACCACTTTCACTTTCTCAGTTTGAGAAGTGTAAAATAAACAAAAAATCATGGATTAATCTACCTTTTAGAGCATCTAAGTACTGTATATCCTATATTTTGCTGTGTCTTCTTCATAGTTTGCGGTGACCAATCACTTTGGACTCATTCCTTTTAGAATATTCCTTGTATCTGCAGACCTAGAAACCTATTATTTCCGTTATTTACTTTGTTAATACATTACATATCGTTTTATAGGTGATGCAGAAGTATATCATCATATAGTAACTATCGACTCTTTTCAGAAAAAATAAATTGAGTTATTACGACATAGAGTTTATGTTTAGATTCTAATTCCTGTTGGTCTTCCATTCCTTTCGGAAGAAATGTATCAAGTGGAAGTCTTAGAGCTAAGTTCCAGATGCTAAATTTCACTGGGCTTCCTTCTTCTGCAAAGAAAGGTATCAAGTGAATTTTAATTGTTTGACTTTGATTCAGACTTTGTTGAAGTATAGAGTTTGCATCATTGTCTTTTATTTTTTTCATTACTTTAAATACTGAACTTCACTTGGACTTCTATTCCTCTGCAAAGAAGTGTATCAGATAAACTTATGTGTTTTAGACCTACATTTCGTTCAGGTTATAGTTTCCATCATATTCTCTTATTTTTTCATTAGTTTAGATGCTAAATTTCCCTTGGGCTTATGAAGATGATAATGTGAATCCAACAAATAGAGTAGCTGATAACCAATTTATTGACACTAAAATGAAAGGAGCTGCTAACGGGGAAGCCTGTTGAGGATCAAAGTTATTCACAAAATAATGAGAACAACAATTAGAATGAAAATGTGGACCAGGTAGATTACAAAAGTAAAAAAGGACAGTGTAATAAAATATTTCTTTAACACAGATAAAGGCAAAGACAAGATTGACAATTAAAAAGGAGAGAAAGTAGAAGACTCAGCAAGTGTTGCACTGAAGAAATGAGATAAAAATGTACCCACATCCTTTCTGACTTTCCACATATCCACTTCTTTTCATTTTTGGTTCTGTGAGTCTTCAGAAATAATTTATCATTACGGAGATCTTTCCCCGTTAGCTCCTTCTACAATCATTAAAAATATTGTTAATTAACAGAACATATCATAGAATAAAATTAGACTAATACTAATTAATACTAAAAGATAAAAAAAAATACATGTCTTCTTCTGTACTCAGCAAATGCAACAGATCCTCCGGTATGTAAGGAAGGGCCTTCTCCATTATTAGATGACATTCTGTTCTTCGAGTTGATTTCTGATTTTTTTTTAAAATTCTCAGAGTTCCAATATTGCATCAAAACATCCCAGTGATCTTTAGCAATCCATCCCGACATTTCTTTTGTTTTTGAAAATTTTCTTTTTGCTTTTCCCAAACTATCACTTAACCTTTCGCTCCCCACATGCTCAAAAGTCCTTCGAATAATAACTTTATCCTCACTAGGAAAAGAATAATTTTTCTGCAATTAGAAAGTAAACATTCAGTTTGGCATCGTTTATCAAGTTAAATCAATTACGACAGTTAAGTATAAATACCTCGAAGTCATTGAACCATCTATCTCGTACATGCTCCGGAACTTTGCTCCAACAATGCCATGATCCAGAGAAGCCTTTTCTAAAGGCTATTGTTACATTCCGAACAGCTTCATGTGGGCAAATCTACAAAATAATTAATATAACATTTTATTGGAATATAATTAAATGAAAATGAATTTAACCACAACTTGTATAATTAGATTTACTTACGTGTCTCCGTTTACTTTCAAAGATCTTATGCCACGAGTAGTATCTCGTCTTGCCAGTGGATTACTACTTCCATAAGATGCAAGTGTTTGTTCAGCAGAAACATCTTGAGAAGGAGTTTCTTGTTGAGAACCAACATGCTGAGAAGAACGAGGTGCTTGTTGATGACCAATATTCAGAGAAGCGGGAGTTGCTTGTTGACCACCAACATTTTGAGAAGTAGAAGATGTTTGTTGAGCATGGACATCTTGAGACGAGATAATATGTTGGTTTGAACCAACTTGTTGAGATGTAGGGGTTGATGGTTCACTAATATTGGCATGAGAAGTATTCGATAGTTGTTGGTAGCCTTCTCTCCCTTTGTTAGACATTCCCCACGAGCTCCCCAACTACGCTTAGTGCCTCTTCCCCTTGTCATGCTTCCTGATCAAATAATGACAAGAAGAATAGAATAATAATAATAATACACTAGCCATACAGAACATATAAAATATAAAAATTTGACCATCCAAATATTTTGCTAGAACAAGCATAACAGAACATATAAAATATAAAAATTTGACCATCCAAATATTTTGCAAGAACAAGCATAACAGAGACCTCTCTATTTGACCTTTTAGCAAAACAATTCACATACTTTTTCCCTTTTAAATAGATCTTCTTCGATAAGATCTGATATTTTTCTGTCTTTTAGTGGGAGAAGGGTTTATAGTTTGCCTGTTACATTTTATGGATATTTTGAGATGATTATCACAATCTATGTTGCTCGGACTCTCCAAAAGTAATCTCGTATTCGTGTCGGATCCTTCAAAAATACACTAAATTTAGAGGATCCGATACACACCCAACAATATTTTTGAAGAGTCCAAATAACATAGATCACAATTTGGTGTCTATTTTGTTCACAAGATATGTTATGAGCGCGAATTACGAATTCAGCTAGTAGCCTAGTACTAGGAAAATATAAGGTTTTGAAATACAAAATGTAGAGAATGATATCATAGATTTGAGTTTGGCCTAGCAGAAAAGTAAAAACTTTAATAACGACAAGAAATTTGCAGCTAAACAAGTCTAACGCAGATATTTGAAAGGGAAAAGTATCTAGAAAATCCAAAGGTAAGCTGTCCAGATAAAGTCAAGTTTGGTATCTGTTGAACTTTGACTGTAGACAACATGAGGAGATTTTCAGAGTCATGTTTATCTATAATATTGCAAACACTTTAGTTACTAAAAGGCAGAAAAGCAGGACTCACAAGCAAGACTACAGTGGACGCTACAATTACAGTAGTACCTCACATGTAATATTCTGAAAGAAAATGTAACAGAAAACACAACACTTATTATCCAGAAGAAATAGAATAATAAGGAACAAAGACTTAATTAGAGTACAAATAGAATTAGCTCTTGTAACATCCACTGACATTGCAATTACAGTAACCTGTTGCATGCTTGCTCGTGTAAATAAGTTGTATGTGTGGAACAACTGCTCAATATTTAGCACTCAGAATCTTAAAATCTCACATTCACTTAGTCTGCATGAACAAGACTCTCTGAGTTTGGAAAACAAATTAAAATCATACCTTTTTGCCTTTGGCACCAGAAATGGGTGCAAGTGTAGGTTCTGGAATGAAATGTGAAAAAAGAGCAAAAATGATAACACCTGCAAAAACTGACCGACCAAAAGAACGATATGCTGAGCATAAGACTAGCAGCAAATCCCTGCAAAATGGGAGAAAATATCCAGGCTTCTACTCGGGAGATAGATTATGATTTTAACCTGGTGGGGACCTAATGACAAAGTTTTCTTTTTATAGAGATAATGGAGGGCCTCAAGAGCAGAACATATAGTCAGAGTGGAAAAGAGAGAGATTTCAAAAGAATATATATTAGTAAATTTTTAATTTGACTGATAAACTTAAGTATCTATACTTATAAATGGCATCAAGATGCAGAAAATATCAGCAATCACAATAAAGAACACAAACAAAAATATTGCAGTAAAAGTCATGTGTTATACTCAACACCTTGTTATCATTCAATGTCATTATTTTCACTATAATTTAGCTCAAATTTCAATCACTTTGTCCATTTTCATCAGATTCTTCTATCTCTTCATCACTTTCAATATCATCGATATCATGTGCTCTTTCGATTTCAGCAGTCTCTTTTTCAAAGTCATGTACTTCCAGCTCACCATTTTCATGAAGTAAATGGTCAAGATCATCAGTGACATTTGGAAGTACCGCGGGTAAATCCTCATCTTCTTGGTACAGGATATTTGGAGAATCAATACGGCTTCTAGCTTTTATTTTGCACACTGCCCACCACTCAGTCCTATCTTTTTTTTTACTGGGATATTCTGCAAAATATACTTGTTGTGCTTGTTCAACCAACACAAAAGGTTCATAGGCATAGCTCGAGAAACTTTTCTTATGATTGATATCGATTAGACCATAATGATTATGGACCTTCAGCCCTCGGCCCATTGTTTGATCAAACCAATCACATTTGAACAATACGAGAGTAGTTCTTTTCTTTGTCGAATTAGAATACTCTAGTTGTATCACCTCAACGAGCAATCCATAGTAGTCACTTTCATAGTCAATCCAACTTGTTCCTTTGATGCACACACCACTATTCATAGTTGTTTTGTTAGAGCCGTATGTAAGAGTGTCGAACTTATATCCATTCGTAAAATACTGAGGCCATGTTTGCACCCACCTATAAGGACCAGAAGCTAAGTCTTTCAATCGCTCATCAGTTATGTTATTAGTTTCATTAAGAACCTATTAATAAAACAATAAATCAATAGTATGTTTTATTAAATATAAATTTTAAGCCAAGACAAATAAAGACTACGAATTCTTTTATTTAATTGTAATTTACTCACATAAGCTTCAAACCACTTGGCAAATTTACTATTTGTCTCTTTCTCAATTTGCTCGAGGCTAATATTTTCCGAATCCCTTCTTAATTCAGCTTCAAAAATACTACAAGAGTAATAAAATTTTAGTTATGCTAGCCCTTTCATGCAACATATATACATGTATGCACTAAATAGGTAAAAAAATTAACTTACTGGACGAATTGTTGAACCTCCTCACAATTTAACAGAACATATAAACGTGCCGCATCTCACTCATCATCAGTCAGATACTGACCATCTTTCCCACCACTTGCACGTCCTGGATGCAAAAGATGGACAAACAACCATCAGGTGCATCAACTTCATCTTCATCATCATTTCGAGTAACTTTGTTTAGCCTAGTTTGCACGTTAGGCTAGAAATAATAGGAACTGAAAGTTGAAATTTCTTGAATGATATAAGCTTCACATATTGATCCCTCGACACGAGCTCTATTTTTCGCCTTTTTTTTGTAATTATGTAGCTCCCTATAATTAAAATATAGTTTAGTGTGTTTGTAAGTAAATAAATTAATTATCTAATCAAAGATTAAGTTTAGACTTTTACCGCTCAAAAGGATACATCCACCGAAGCTGAACTGGACCACCAACTATTGCTTCATATGCTAAATGAATCGGCAGATGTTCCATGGGATCAAAGAAACCAGGAGGAAATATTTTCTCTATCTTGCAAATTGTAATTTTTATGCTTTCTTCAAGTTTTTGTAGATCTTCTACTTTTAAAACAGTTGCACATAAACCTTTAAAAAATAAGCTGATCTCTGTTAATGCATTCCAAATTGGCTCAAGCAAAAAATCTCGAAATGCAATTGGTAGCAACCTTTCGAGAAATACATGACAATCATGGCTCTTCATCCTTGATAATTTATAATCTTCCATGTCTACACATCTAGACAAATTGGAGGCATAACCATCTGGAAACCTCAAACTTTTCGCCCATTCACATATTAACTTTCTTTGTTCTTTTGTTAGTGAGTATACTGCCTTTGGCTTCAAAAGTTTCCCTTGATGCTCCTTCAATTCAAGCTCTGGACGATTGCAATAAGTCTGCACATCCATTCTAGCTTTTAAATTGTCCTTCGTTTTATCTTTTACATCCATTACTGTGTTAAATATATTATCAAACACGTTTTTCTCGATATACATCACATCGAGATTATGCCCACGAATATTAGTGTGTCAATATGGTAATTCCCAGAAAATACTTTGTTTTGTCCAATTATGTTGATCCCCAAATCCTGGCAACTTATTCGAGGTGCAATTATCGAAAATCTTTGGCAAGTCACGCACGTTGTTCCAAACTTCTTCACTAGAAAACCTAGGAGAAGGAGCAGAGTGCTCAACTCTTCCTTTTAAAAATGATTTTTTATCCCTACGAAATGAATGATCTACTGGCAAAAATTGACGATGACAATCAAAGAATGAAGCCTTTCTTCCATCTTTTAAATGAAATGCCTTACTTTTTCCCATACAACAAGGGCATGCCAAATGACCGTGGGTGCTCCAGCCAGACAACATTCCATAAGCTGAAAAATCATTGATAGTCCACATAAGTGCAGTTCGCATTTGAAAATTTTGTTTCTTATAAGAGTCATAAGTCTCAGCCTCGTCAACCCATAATTGCTTCAATTCATCAATGAGAGGTTGTAAGTATAAGTCTATATTCTTCCCTGGGCTTTTTGGACCAGGAATGAGAAGACTTAAGAACATATACTGGCTACTCATGCACATTCCGGGTGGAAGATTGTATGGTGTGATGATTACTGGACAACAAGAATAAGGATGGGACATCTGCCCATACGGACTAAACCCATCAGCTGCAAGTCCAAGCCTAATATTTTGAGGCTCAACTGCAAATTCAGGATGGCATTGATCAAACTATTTCCATGCCTCTCCATCACTTGGATGACTCATTACCCCAGGTTCTCGACGAGATTTCTGGTGCCATATCATATGTTCAGCAGTCTTTGTTGACATATATAACCTTTGTAATCTCGGAGTTATAGGAAAGTAGCGTAGTACTTTATATGGAACATCCTTTTGCCTTCCACTGCCTCCTCTCTTAGGCTTATAACGTGGTTGACCACACTTGGGACAATTTATTTTGTCTTTGTTATCCTTGTAATATAGGATACAGCCCGTCTCGCATACATCTATCTTTTCATATCCTAGCCCAAGTTTGGCAAGCATTTGTTTAGTTCTATAGTAATCATTAGGTAACTTAGCATCTTCGGGTAAGATCTCCTTCAGAAATAGCAAAATTTGGTTATAGCAATTGTCACTCATGTTAAACTCAGATTTAATGTTCAGTAGCCTGCACACCGCTGACAGCGTAGAATGATTAATACACCCATTAAACAATGGCTCTTCTGAAGCTTTTAGCATATCAAAAAATTCTTGAGCATTTCGATTAGGAGGTTGTTCTTCTTCACCATCCAAATCAAATCAATCACTTTCAAAGTTGAAACTAGGACCAATTGCATCCAAGACCATAGTGCGATATGGATTTACTGTTGTCCTGTCAGGACCTATTTCACTTGATTGAGGCCTGGAAATTGGTACAAAAGGCTCCCCATGTGATTCCCACTTATAATAGTTAGGCATGAAACTGTTCCTGTACAGATGTGCTTTAACATCATGAGGTTCAAGAAACCCACTAATGTTTTTACATCTTGAATATGGACACCTTATACTTCTATTAGAAAAGAAGTCATGTTGCATTAATGCAAACTCTACAAATTCGTGCACGCCTTCTAGGAACTCAGTAGTTACTCCTTTCCAACATGGCGCTAGTCTATTATACATCCAGATACGATCAACTCTAAAGGAACTCATGCTTCCTATCTAACAAACAATGACAAAACACTATTTTCAGTAATAATATACTAGTTAGTTAATATTCATAATAAATGAGTAAAAATTTATCCGCACCGGGTGTTTACACCCGACTAATAAATATTTGACAAATGGCAATGTATTTAACTATAACTATTAGTGAATAACTATAGTTAACTATCATCTATTTTGTAATTTTAACTAACAATATAAAATAATTAACATCCAACGGTAACTAAATGCAGGCAACTTATTTACATGTGACTTTTGTTATATTTTTGTTCTTTCGGTTGTGCTTTTGAAATCTTGATGCATACCCAGTTATCCACATCATCTTGTTCTAGTAGTTAAAACTTCCCCTAGAAATATTAAATCTCATAAAACTCCTATGTCACTAAACTCTATCGTTACCAGAATGAATATGAATTTACGTCCATCCTAAGATTAGTTGATTTGAACTTATCATCATATTAATTTATCATACTTATATTTCATTTTCAATATCATAACGTCAACTTAGTTAAGAATATGATATGTGATAGGTAACCAATGTTCTACCTGAATATAATAACCAAAAAAATTGCAATAATGAATTTGTTTTTTCTAAGATGAGAATGTGTGCAACTAGTAGTTAAAAGGATAAAATCATTTAAATCGGGAAATTTTTCTAGCAAAAAGCTTAAGGTACATCTTCATTCACAAACTCAACAAGCGATATAAAGAAGTCAAGGGCGCAACTTTGATTATGTAATTGTCCGTTTAATTTAGCCAACAAAGCATCCAAGGGTTTCCTACAAAGTTTTATTAGTCTACAAAAGTAATCAAGGATTTTCTTAAATGTGTGAATTACACCGTCAAAATTTAAAAGATAAGCTTCTTTTCCCAAATGTTTTAAAATACTAGTACTAAATCATTCTACATGAAAAATTCCAACCAAGTAGTAGTTTTGGAATTGCGGCTTTTGATTGCAATCAATAAATAATAAACTGAAGAAAGAATGACCCAAAGCTTCAGAGTATACCAAAACGCTAGAAGAAGAACAAACGTTGACGACAACCTAACGATTGTAAATGTTAGGCTAATGACTTCGCTTCTTTTTTGTTTTTTATTTTTTTCTTTATTTAAAATATGCCTCTAGACCTTAGTTTGTCTTGTGTGGTTAATTTAACTAAACCGGGTGTAGATACCTAGTGCGGGTAAGTTTTTTACCAAGTAAATGAGATCCAAACCTTCTTATATTATTAGTTCACCAATTTAAACAAATTAACAACACCACAAATAGCAAATTGAGAAGAATTCAAAATCACTGTTTAATTAAGAGAAAAATCACTTAAAGACAACTAGTAGAGGTTGAATTTGTTTTCTATTAGACACATGTTTTTAAGTAAAATTTACTATTTCACCTCAGTTTTGTTTGCTATTAAACCTACAAAGGGCACATAAACTTTTTTTATTTCCAATCATATACAAAAGTATAATATTTTATTAATTTTATTCTTCTTCACTTATCATGTTGCCCTCGTCTAAAATAATTTTACTTGATTTACAATAGTAACAATAAATCTTCATTACTTTCCTCTCAAGCCCGAAAATAGTTGTTCAATAAAAATATAAGGATAACAATTTAATAAACAGCAAATACCAAACAAAACATATAAGTAGGAACACATGGAAATCGTTGGGGAAATTGCCCTCTCTTAATTCCATAGTTAACACAAAATTAAACAATGACAAGAGTTCCTGGTGCGAGAAAGGTACTGATGAACACTCACAATCTTCCACATGTTTGGATTCATTGAATTTTGATGATATTTTGTTAATCAGTATCTTGCTAAAATGAAAAAATTAAATTAAAAGTGATAATTACAGAACAAATTAAACACTCACAACAAACTTCTTTGCACAAATGCTTTAGGTATAAGAGAAATTCTTACCTTCACGGAAGCTTACAAGCGGCAGCGATAATCTGAGTTCTTCCTCCACTGAATTGGAAGATGATAGTTGAGGGTTTATAAAGATGAAGAGACGCGGAAGAGTGCGTGGGTGTTTAGCGGATTTAAAGGAATTGAGATACTGTAATTCTACTAAAATAAGATTACTAAGGATTATAACTTTTAAACCTATCTTTACAAATTTAAGGAAACGGCTGCCTTTAGTTTAGGGATTTCAACCAAAAGTCCAACTAAAATAAGATTACTAAGGATTATAACTTTTAAACCTATCTTTACAAATTTAAGGAAACGGCTGCCTTTAGTTTAGGGATTTCAACCAAAAGTCCAACTAAAATAAGATTACTAAGGATTTTAACTATTAAGCCTATCTTTACAAATTTAAGAAAACGGCTGCCTTTAGTTTAGGGATTTCAACCAAAAGTCCAAAGACCGTAATTAAANGCCATATTTAACTTCCCGCTAAAAGGAAACATTTGTAGCTACTTTTTAGCTAGGGATTAGCCACTGAATGTAATCCTAGCTAAAAGACAAATCTTCCGCAAAAATTTTAGCGCCAAAATAGGATTCCCGCTAATATTTGGCTATAGATTAGCTAAGGAGACTTTCCTAGCTAGTGCATTGCTAGGGATGCGCTACGGACTGTGTCCCTAGCTAAACTACGCTCTTTTTGGAAAAATAAATTTAGCGCCAAGTTAGAATTCCCGCTAAATATTAGCTATAAATTTGGCTAGGAAAAAACTGTAGCTATCATTTAGTAAGGAATAGTCCTAGTTGATTCCTAGCTATTTTGTGACTATATTTTTAATCGAAAAAATTCGCATGGAAATAGGACTTTTCTAGCTACATGCGTAGCTAAATGCTTATATTAGCTAGGGAACTGAAGTCCCACGCTAATTTCC